AGGAGTTATTATTATTAATAGTAATAATAAATCAAATATAGAGGTGCATGATAAATCCGATACTAACCCGAGCAAAGGAGGACGCCAACCCTTCGATCATCTCGTCTAGAGGTTTCCCGGCAAGACGAGTCGAATCAAACTCCGTCGGGAAACCCATTACCTTCTCCATGGCCAAGGCGCTATCAAGAACGTCAAACACCGAACCACCATTTTGCGTCCTATCAACACCAGCAACAAAATTCCCTTTCCATGCATTAACGGGCGGTAGAACCAACTCCTCAACTCCTAAGGTGCGAGGCCTTTTTTCACGCACGACGATAGGGGCGACACGAGTATCCCCGGACGCGGAGGGGGACTTGAGCTCGCTCAAAGGCAGCGGGGGCGCACTCACAATGGCAAGACGACCTTTGTCGGCGGATTTGGGATCCGAGACTCCAGCGCTCTTCTTCACAGCCACCTCCGGACCACGGGACGATCCCACCCCATGGACTGGCTTTTTCCCACTACTTCGATCCTCTGCAGTGCCTCTTCCTGACTCCCGTGCCACGGGCTTTGAGGCCGGAGGTGTGTTTCGAGATACAGGCTTCGAGGCACCATTGTTCATGCAACGACGTTTGAAATCATTATAGCTCATCGTCTCACCTGCAGAACACGAAAACAGCAAATACAAAAATATTAGTTTCAAGAAAAAAGAAAGAGGACGGAGCAATCAATACAGCACAACTCCTCTACCCTTAGAAAATAAAGTCAAAGGGTCGAAGAAATAATCGAAAAAACCCATTCCGATACAATCCATTTTGAGTCTCGAGTGTTCATTACTCCACTCAACGGGACGCACTTCACCCCATACAGAAGGAACTTCCCAATCATTCCGCACGTATAGGAACCACTCCTTCCAACTCCCCCATTTATTCTCATTTTTCTTCAAAAACTTGCATTTCGGCCGAGGATGAAAATGAAAATTAGGCGCTTTGTCCCTCAGCGGTTTCACAAGAAACATGGAGTGAAATAAATTCGCTGAAATTGGAAAACCCTCGGACTCAGCGCGATGACAAAACCCTTTGAAGTAAAGAAATGCGTTCGGCGTTAATTGACTGAGGCTCACCTTCACATCTCGACAAATTTTAACAAGAACCGGATGAGGTGGCAAAGTAAATCCAACCGAAAATGATGCAAGGAATACCGTAAAGTAGCCATCAGGAGGGGCATAACATCTCTCCCCCTTACACGGAACCGATATCTCAATAGCATGCTCGACACGTAGATAGTCCAGAATCTCGGGCAGTTGACCAACTCTAAAGGAAGAGTCGAAATTTAATTCGGCACATATTCCTGAATATTCCTCAGAAACACTACCGCCGGAAAAATCGGTTAATTCTTCTTCCTCATCGGTCAACACGCTCTCGTCCACCTCGAATTCACGTCTTCTCTTCGACCCACGAACCACGGAATTTTTTAGAGAAAAGTTCGTCCCAAACACATTAATCCGTCGAGACCACGCCCAAGTCTCAGGATCGCTACATTCTAACTCCACGGAACGAAACTCCGGGCCCACATCAGGGTTGGGAGCTGAAACACGGGGTTCGGCGGAAAAAACGGACTCCGAACGGCCCTGCACGCGCTCCACACGCGCCGGAAACGGCCCGGACGCGCCTCCACGCGCAGAACAGCTCCCAGCAGCTGTTCCCACGCGCCCCACGCGCCCCACGCGCCCCGGGTGGTCCCCGCCCACGCGCTCCACGCGCAACACGCGCTCCACGCGCCCGGCATTCCCAGGCCCCCCTCCGTGTGACGTCACGCTGACGTCACACCGCACTCCCGCCCGAGTTACCCCGTTCATCCGAGTTGACTCGCCCGATTCCCCTGACCGAGTTGACTCACTCAACTGAGTCGACTCACCCGACCGAGTTGCCCAGCCCGACCGGTCCGACCCGCCTGCCCGAGTCGACTCACCCACCCGACTCGCTCGATCCGCCCGAGTTGACCCGCCCGACCGCCCAGCTGCACAGTTTTCCACGCTCGGTGACGTCACGCCACCCAGGGCTGACGTCACCCCCTCCTTTCTGGCACGGAATTCAATGCCATAGCCGCCAGTACTGGAATTTTTCTCGAACAACGAACCATTACACTGTTTCGCACATAACTTCTCGCTCGCAACTCCGAATTTCACAAAATTGGTACTCCTGGACTCCAAATTTCGACCTCTTTCCACCCGGCTATCAAGATTTTTCGAATTCCCATCTTCAAAATTATCGGATTCCGAATGAACTCCACATAGTTCGTCGCTAGACTCGTCCAACAACCTTAGACCCGACATTAAATTCCTACGCCTATATCAAACGCAATTTCGAGGCTCCAAACGACAAAATACGGGTAAAACCAACGACACAAGGACTCGAATAAAAAAGTGAGGATTTGCAAAAAATATTTATACCTTTGGAAGTTCGCCAATTATTTTTAAATCTCGCTAGCACAATTCTGGAAGAAGAAACCACAAGAATCCAAAATAAAAAACCCTACAAGGGCATGGATGGGCTTATATACTACTTCCAACTAGGCTCACAAGCCCATGACCCAACTTGGAAGTGGGGGGCTTAATGATGTGTCTAATCATAATTAGGCCCATAAACCTAATTAAGATTAGGCCCAAATTGCCCTAAATTAATCTAATTGTGTGAAAACTCAATTAGATTACTTTTTACCTATAAAAGTAACAACACATTGTCCCACATCGGATTTTTACAAAAAGTCCTACCTATTCATCCACCTATAAATGTATGTGTCATTTCACATAGAAAGGTACACTCTAATTTGGCAATTAATAATTATTATTTGCTTATATTAATACATCTTCTGACTTGAGCGTCGGAGGATAATCGCCGGGCCAAACCCGGCGTGTCATCTAGTGTTTCAATTGTTTTGTAGGTTAACGAACGGAGCAATCCCTTCGACTACCTCGGACACGTGGCAGTGACTCACGGCATTCTCTATCTTTGTGGGCTCAAGGACACTTGGGTTGCCCAATTGGCATTTGAGCAGCATCATTATTATTTTTCAAATGTAAAAGTAGAAAAAAGAAATCTGAAGCTAAGAATGTGCATTGGGTAAATTATGGTCTTGTGTAATAAATGATGATGTGTTGTTTTACACCAACTAGACAACCCTTGTGAGCAGAATTAGTGCAGTTGAATGTTATCAACAGATGTTTAAGTATGTATGTATATATGCAGTTAAATTGAGATATTGTCCGTATGAGTGTAGCTCAACTGGTTTCGGGTTATAAGTTGGTACAAATTAAATTGAGATATTGTTTTCACATGAAAACTCCTACCTCTGTTGTATGTAATATTTATTATGTGTATGTATTGAAAAGGCACTCAATTATTACAGAAACTAAAAGGTCACGTGAGAATCCTCTCCCATTTCTGAATTCCAACATTAAAATGTCTGGCTGAAAACATGTTGAATGAGTAATGAAAATCAGGAATGTTGTCAAAGAATTTATCATAGCTAATATCTCGTGACTTGGTTTTGGAGTCTATATATGTAAAATTGCAAATTCATGAAACCCAAATATATCATTAAAAAGCTCACAGCAAAACACCAACACATGGAAATTGAAGCTTTTGATTCCTATGATGATAATACAAACACCATGTCAAGATTCCAATGCCTCCTACGAATCATGAAGAATCTGTTACGCATTTTTGGGATACTCATCCTACTACTACTCCTCTTCAAGATCACCGTTGTTGTCCGGCAACTGATAAGCGTTGTGATTATTAGTCCTCTTTTTATTTTCCTGATGGGAAATGTGATAGTCTTCGTGCTTATATTGAAGTCTCCTCCCCATACTTTATTTGGGAATTCTCAATTCATGGAAATCGACCATTTGGGTTTCTTCATCAGCCAGTTAGATTTCATCATGGCGGCCACCGCTACAAACGTTGACATCAACTTGACGACCGGCCATGCTGAAAACTCCTTGCAGGATGAGGAACAAGTTCATGTAGTATTCCAAGACAAGCATACTGTTTTCGAGGACACCACCACAAACGTAATTAACCCGTATAGGTGGAGTAGTACTCCGTCTGAGATCAATCCGTGTTCTCAGCAGAGAGTGGCGGCGGATGATGGCATTGTCGGCAGCAAATTGTCGTCGGAGATGGTGGATGATGAAATGACCAATGAGGAGTTTCAGAGAGCGGTAGAGGATTTCATTGCTAACCAAATTAAGTTTCATCAGCAAGAAAAACACGCTGTTCTGACAGTTCACGGCCGCCGTGTAACCTGAGTATTTTTTATTTTATTTTAATGGAGTTTCAGGATTCTTTTGTGGAATGAAGCCACATTCACAAAGGTCACAAGTTAATTCCAGGTTTAAGAATTATATTCATTGTGATGTCGTTTCCGATATCATTCATTGAGATTTTAGCATCATCGGACAAATTATCGAGTTATTGATTTTATTCAGATGAGGCCATGTCAAATGATAGATTACTTAATTGTTAAATAAATTTTTAAACTTTTTAGTCACCTATAATATAAAATACATAAATCGGCTTTAAATCGAGTGACTCTACAAGCTTTAGGCTCGGAGTTATATTTAGATAGTTGGCCTTTAAATTGGCTTTTGACGGATATTACTATGTCTTGTCTCAATGAGCTTCAACTCGGAGTTATTTCGCGATTTAGCCTCTAAATCGCCTTTTTGTCCCTACGAGCTATAGCTTCAGGCTCGGAGCTATACTTGACTGTAATTCCAACATCCTGACTCAACAAGTTTTTCGGCTCGGAGTTAACTATATACGTTCTATGTAAGATCGACGAGATAATTTATGTTCTTAAATGGCAAATATTAAAGAACCCCGTGTTAGTATTCTCATTCTGGTGTGGGGGATTATAATCTCCACTTCACTAGTTATTTTGTAGGTAGAGTTGTTTCAAAGTCATGATCACTTTCTCAACAGAATCAGTTATAAGTAAAGAGAGGAATCTGATTAACAAAATTGAGACTGGGATTATTATTATTATAATTGTATGGACTTGAATAAATATTGATCACTAAAGCTTTATACATTTATTTAAACACAGAGAGATATTTAGCATCTGCAAAATGTATTTGTCTGGTTTGAGTCTTGTTCCCTTTCTTTCAATGACAGAAGATGATCGATGATGATGATGATGATGTTACGTACTGACTGTATATATATATTAAGCTGTAGATCGAGGATGGAAAAAGAAAGAGAAGACAGAATATTATTGATGAAGATGAATCAGAGTTTAGTAAGAACAAGAACAGTGGTGATGGAGTTGATATGATCATTGGCGGCGGCCAATTCTTGATCGAGCAATGTGGCATAATGTTGAAACAGCTTGTCCAAAATGGAATCTCCAAAGTGATTGGCTAACATAGATTCTTGAATTGACCTAACTGTCTTTGCGACTGCAGTCCCATAGCTCATATCTGCATCAATATCATTTTCATTTTCATTTTCAAACATCTCAAGAACATCCAGTTTGAAAGAACCCTCCTTCCTCACTTCATCTTCCAACTCTTCCTTTGAAGGTGCATAGAAATGGACTTCGTACGACTCCAATTTCTCCTCATCTATTTCACCCTCATCAACCATTGTGGATAAAGATCGGTACATGATTTCCCAAAAGACAGAATTGCCCCTGTCTGCATGGTGGGACCCGGTCCTCCCGAGCAATATAAGCACCATCCGGCCACCGCAGACGAGTTCTTGAGAGCGTGATTTGAGGAACAAAGAGAAGTCATGTTGGAACTGTTTAAGGTATGCTAGTGACACCTCTTGTGTGCTCCTCTCCGATATGTATATGCTTTTCTTGTTTATTGAAAACCCCTGTTCGTCGTATATACCTGCTGGAACCTGTCAGAAATTAAATTATTACTAGTGATCGATCGACGAGAAAGGTAATTAATTAATATAAATATATATATATAAATAGAACGAAAGAAAGAAAGAAAGAAAGAAAGAAAACTTTGGATAGCCAGTGGAGACAGTTGGAGGAATAAATGAAGTGCAAGCAGTGGTCTGGAAAGAGTCTGCCGTAGAAAGATCCAGGGTAAGCAGATATGTAAATCCTATGTTTGTTGAGCTGTGTGTAGAAATCAGGGAGTGATTGGAAAAGGGTGTTGAAATCGTTGGTAGGAAGATCGTTTAGAAAAACACGGAATTCGGGTTCGGGATCGGGATGGGGATGGAGGAGGACAGTGTGGACGAGTTGTTTGATGTTGGAGAGTGTGTTGGGGCCTGTGGAGCACCCGAGATCTGCTATGCCTATGCTATTCGGCCTTTTTTCTACGTACATTTGTTCCATTGCAGCTGTTATTATGTGTTTCACCTTATCTGCAGCCCTTTTTTGAAGTGATGAATTCTTCGAGTAGCTGTTTTCTCCAATCCCTCCCTTCATCTGGAAAACTTTCTCAATATCCATCTTCATTAATATAATATCATGTGTTTTTTGAGAAAGCATGAACAACATGTATGTTTGTTTCTCCCTTTTTAAAGACATGTAACATGGTGGACATGTATGAATTGAATATCACTTTTTCTTTTCTTTTTTTTTATTTGCTTATTCTTGTATGTAAAGCAGCATTAAGTTAATTATATATAATTTGGTATTGATGCGACATGCATCATAAAATGGACGGATCGGAAGAGAATTTATTTGGTGGGTAGGAATATTGAAATTAATTAATTAATTAATTAATTAATTAATTAATTATTAATGGAAACCAAAGTGCCAACTCCATCCCCCATTTTTGGAAGTCTTTTCTTTCCTTATTCTTCTTATTCTTTCTTTTGTGATGGATTTGACATATCAAACTAGACAAAACATTCTTTCATTCATTCATTCATTCATAATAAGCGTGAAGTGACCAATTGATTGCCCCATTTTTTTTTTGTCAAACACACACACACACACACCCCTTGACTAATAATTAAGCATGCTCATTATTAAACAGTGAGTCAAGCTCCCTATTTATATATAATTTAATAAAAAAAAAGAAGCATTCATTCATTTCACAACAAATTAAACACGTAAGTGGTTTTGCTCAGGCTATAAGGAAAAGTGGAGACAGGTGCCATCATTAGTCATTACATTAGACAAGTGTCGACCGAGGGATAGACGTAACTGGGTTTTCACCATATTACATTCAACACATGCATACCCTACCATTCCCAATTTCTCCATCAAAACTTCAACTTTAATTAAAAAAAAATAAGACATTGAACAATACCCCCTTTATAGAATGAATTGCATTATTGATGCCAAGTTTGACAATACAATCCTTATCTCATTTATATTACTACCAATCACTTCAATCTTGCAAACACTATAAATATACTTTTACCACAATCTACTAAGCTAAGAGAGCGAGTTACAAATTTATGTATTATTTCTACTAAGAGAGCGATATGATCATGCCCCAATTTGAATTTGCTTGGGCCTAGATTTATCTGATTTCATACTTGTTTTTTTAATTCATATTATTTTTTATTAAATTGTCTCCGGAATTAACTAAGATATGATGTGATGTGATGTCAATAAAATAATTAAGATATTGGTTTAGTAATTTAATTTACACCATATGACATATGTACGTTGCTTGCTCCGGAATTGCACTCACCTACAAAAGCAAAAGGTTGATTCCAATGTCCCATCTGCAGCTTAACCCTTAAATAAATGAAATTAGTTGTCGCTAGGACAATATAAATAACGACTAATTAATTAAGTAGAGAATAATAGATATGTACAATGTATTAGGAGAATAATAAATTGGCTGGGCCGGTGAACACCCCGAGATAATTAGATTAAGATGAATATGATATGATCTGATGTGCATGATTATATATGTTTAATTAATTAGCAGTTAATTAAAGTAGTATCTGGGATCGATGGTTCAAAAGACTGTTTTGAGGGTTAATGATATATCATCTTGCCATAAATGCAAGACCAAGCTTCTCAAGGCTGTCTCTGGCTTACAAGGTACGTACGTACGTACGTACCACTCGCTCAGATTAATTATATATTTATTAATTTTGATTCTGCCAATTAATTCATAATATATAACTAAGAAGAGTTGAGTTTGTTAATTAATTTAGGGGTTGATAAAGTGGAAGTGGATGGAGCAAAGGGAATAATGAGTGTAACGGGTGATGCGGATCCGTATGAGATAATAGTAAGAACAAGGCGGAAAACCGGAAAGTTTGCAGAGGTGGTGAGTATTGGGCCACCTCCAAAGCCCGATGAGAACAAAAAGCCCGAAGACCAGAAGAAAAAGCCCGAATACCAGAATATTGATCATATGCCCTTCACCTGCCCAATTTGTGACAGAATTCCATTCATTCCTACCACCCGTTGGGAAGAACCTACCCCACAATGCCACATCTTGTGAATTTTGGAAAAAATATATTGAATTACTTTATGGCTTCAAATTATAATTCCTTATATTGAACGAATAATTGTTACGAGTGAATTATTTTGAACTACATTTTTTTTCATGAGATCCAAGACTTGATATATTTTATTGGTCTTGTTGCTAGGTAGTGTTAGAAATTTTATCGTATATACATACGAATTCCCAAGAACCAACATGCTTGAATCAACGAGAATTAAACCTAAACACAAACACGGAAGCGTACCTTACATCATGTAATCGAATCTTCGAATCTCCACCGGATTTGGGACAGGTCTTCCAAAGAATCCGCAGTTCCTTAATTATCTCTCTAACGATGGATTTTAGAAGAGACGGAAATGATTGCGTTTCTTTGGGGACCACGACCCTTTATATAACTGTAGAGTCCAGTTATATTATAATTGTGATTCAGCCCCATCAATAAATCACAACTAAGCCCTAATTGTCTCTACACATTAGGCCCATAATTATAGTTTAATACCCATAAGTCCAACCCAATAACCTTTATTAGATCACAATTAATTTGGACTTTCATTAAGATAGCCATACACATTTACGTCACATATGTGAGCCCACATAATTATTGAAATAATTCCAACAATCTCCCACTTGGGCCACATATGTTATATACCTTATAAATGTGTACACCTTATGAGCTCAAAATTGCTATCATATAAAAAGGTATTCCTTACAATCTCGTCCATTGACCATACTAATATAGGACTAAAGAGGCTTTCGTCACATTGAGCGTGTCTAAACCCAACAGTAATCACGTATACCAATATAGCCAAACGACATAGATCAAATCATGGTGTGTAACATGGAAATTACATATAATGTGATCTTAACATGCCTATTTCCAACTGGTCCTACTTTAAACTTTATTGAGACCAAACCTTAACATAATTGTACAAAGCGCAACCAAATACTTTATTTCTGCAGAAAACTTATTACACAAAATTGTGTCCAAACATATCATAGAGCTACCAAAATGTGTTTATAACTCCCACTGAACCAAAATATCCTTAAATGATATAACACCTACATGAGCAATGCTCATGAATACCTTATGTGTTAATCCTTTAGTAAGCGGATCCGCAATTGTGGAGTTTGTCTTAATATGCTCTATGTATTCACTTTGTACCTTTAACAACAAAGAACTTTCACAAGCTCTTGTTGTTGTTCGAAAATATAGCTGTTAAATATTGTCACCGTATAACTTTAATACAAATGAACATGTGCAGCCTAGTGACAAATGTTTATAGCTATATTCCAAAATAAGATGCCAAAAATTACCATAAATTCTTAACAATTGTGAAAAGAGCTTAAAGTGTTTGCTTAACACCCATGTCGAAATAGCTCAATCACTTAGGTCTACATTAACCAACATGGATCTATACTTTATACACATCATAAAAATAAAAAATCAGGAATAAACCACACGATCTCCCTAAATATCTGATTTTGATAAATGAGCATATGTATATAACTTACATTCCCTATATTTACTGTATAACCCATTTGGCTGCTTTGCTAAATGATCCACTTTATAGGGTTATTCAAATATCTGCCTAACTTTATGCACGTCTTAACCGAATGCGCACATTCTTTTACTTTAATATATTTATTGGGCATTGAAATGAGACTAAACAAGCCTCATTTATTGTGAGATTATCTCCCACTGATCCTTGGGTATGTACAATCATTAACTTTATTTATCTCAAAGTGCATATGAGATAATTTGCTCAGGATTGTAATATCATTAACGGGAATTTTAATTTCATTAATGGACTACTTTAGTTTGCAATCAATATCCTTCAAATCTTTAAATATTAAGATTTTATGATTGCACTTTATTGTTCCATAAATGTTACCATTTGAGAAACATATTCCCGGTGTCCATATATTTCTTAATAGAGTCGATATGAGTGAAATCTTTAATGACTAAACGTACCATATATCTTTCAATATTGCCCATTTGAGTTACATTTGGTCTTAATTATTTGTAACCAAAGAACTTCACACCTTATTGCAATAAGATAAGATCCTAATTTCTTGTCATTCTAAATTTCAACTCATCTTTAATGCTTTATTATTTTAAGGTTGTTGAGTTTGCTCTTTAAGTAACAATTATCAAGACTTGATTGGGGAATTGTTCAACATTGTCTTATCAAATCTCCAAATCTACTTTTCAAACAATGACAAGTATAAAGACATGTACATTGTCAAAAGCAGTATTAGGAATCAAATTGATTCCTCTTTAAAGACAATGTCTATAATCTAAATTTCTCCCCTCAAACTCAACATCCTTAAAAGATTTTAAATTTTCCCTTTTAAAACATAATATATTGCAGCACTTAATGTTTCTCCTAAATGTACCTTAGTGAAGAAGAATGACTTATCATACTTCTTTGAATGTCATTGAATGTTCTATTCTTGAATTTTGTACCATTTAAATTGCTTATGCAAGATTTTACTACTGTATGAGACTTTTATTTAAATTATAGGTCAAATTTTGAATTATGAAATAGACCAAACTTAATGTTTTCAAATGAACAAGCTAACCAAATTTGTTCAAGAGAAAATCTAAATACATCTAATGACGGTACCAAATGTCTATTTCATAATTCAAAAGAAAACCTAAGAGTCCTCATGGTCTCAATCCCAAATCTTACATAACCTTTATAGATGTATCTTCCAACATCAATTGAATATTGGTTATGTAAATAACCCTATATATACACACTTACGTGAATAGTATAACCCATGATCTATTCACTAAATGTGTCTAAGTACAAAGTCAAAAAATATTTTAGGACATATTAAAGTGGGAAACAAGCATAATTACGCTATTCAACGTACCTGAGATGTAAACTGCAATTATAAATATTTATCTTAAGGCGTACATTAGTCAAATTAGCACTTAGTCTTTTCTCCCTTAATTATTTATTCTTCGTGTGTACGGTCAAAGTTTTATTCTTTATGTTTTACAACAAACCTTATATTGACCGTTCACGGAGAAAAATAAATTAAACCATATCCACTTTCAAGTCAGCGAAACCACACTAACTGAAGTGCTATAACTGAAAATGAGATTAGACTATTACTTAATTTGCTCATTTATGTTCCTTTTCTTTATACCTTATTTAAACAATAGATGTCAAAATCTAATTTGTTGCAACTTTATCGTTTTAAAGAAAACGTCTCCTTAGTGTCGTTAAGGAACCTTCTAGTACGTAGCCCCTAATTAAACCTTATGCCAAAAAAAAAAACATTTAAAATAGATGCACCTTAAATTTTATAATTAGAACGATGATATACACTAGGTTCTTCTATTGTTCTATCCAAAATAAAAAATTAAGATCTATGCACCATAACAAATAATAATAATAAAAATATTTGTGCAACTAAGCACAAAAGCGTTATAGGCAGATAATGTGTAAGCAAATAAATAAATTAAATAGAGAACGTAAATAAAATCAATATGCGCGCACTATAATCCAAAGTTTGACTTTGAAACTTTAAATAATTATGGAATACATCTCAAGATGCCTAGCACAACATTAATATCAAGCCGAGGGGACAATAATATTAACTGTAAGTGGCACTCTTGTTGTAGTAATCAAACATTGATAGTAAATCCTGTCAAATAATAAGTCCATCGAGGGATGTAACTATCATTCACATGGAGCCCAACAACCATCACATATTTATTACCACATATGCATATGTGGTTCCGCCAAATATCAACATACCGAGGGGTATAGTTAAATATTCGCATGAATTCACATACACACAATCATCTTGACAATCTCAATAAGCTAACCTACGCAGAGAGGTCACGAGGGTGGCTTCATGCTTCAATTAGTTATTTCAAATGTCAGACAAACTTAATAACAAGTCATTAGATGTACCCAAAAATTATTCAAAAATTTAAAGTCGTTGTTGAACGCTAAGGCTCTAAAGATATCACCTGAGCGCTAACAGGCTGTATCCAACTATAAGGTTGCCTCACTATATTATTTTCGAATCAAACTCAGTAATATGGTTATTCATAAAAAATGAGTACGAATTGAAAACATCGAATCCATCTTTATTTTGAATTTGAGCTAAAGATAATGTGGGGCTCACAATTCAATCTTATTTAGATAGTGGCCAAAATAAATTTTAACCAATAAATCTAACTTTATATGGATTTGGACTATATCAGTAACTCAATTTAGACTTAAAACAAGGGTTTTGAGTCAAATGCCGAATGAGTCAAACCTTATTTGGTTAATTAATAACCGTATTCATATTTTGATTCGTTAATGTTTAAATTATACTTGGTCAGAAACGTATTGAATTAAAAAATTAATTCATATCCTTAATTCGACCCATTAATTAAAACATTTAAGCCTAATAAGGCATGAACTTTAAAAATCTGAAAATTCCCCAAATTAGCATTAGAAAACCGAATTTGAAATTCAAAATGAATTTCACTTTATTGACCAAACAAAACCTTAAATGAATATAAAAGAATTCACATATTAGTTCGGTCCCTCAAAATAATTGAAATGTTTTAAACGGCCCCAAAACCTTAAATCAACTTTTTATTCCTTAAAAATTGCCTTTGTCCCAAAACCAGAAAATCTTTCAACTTAGAGGACTGAATTGAAATTTTGAAAGAAAAGCATTTGAGTGAAAAGGGGCCTAAGATTCAGAAATACTTAATTTAAGATATATAATATATTTTTGAAAAATATATGACTGTTTTGGGAGAAACTTTAAAAGTGGGGACTGAAATGCAGTTTTCGAAAGCTTGAGGGCTGTAATACTGATTTTTCATTATTTCAAATTGACCCCGACCCAAAATCAGGAATAACTTAAATTTAGGGGACTGAATAGCAATTTCGAAAACCTTAATTAAACAGCCCTAATTAACCTAATTGAAAACTGCAGGGACTAAATTGAATGTTTCTGAAAATTGCATAAACTAAAGTAAGGGGTCAGATTGCAATTTTAACAAAACTTAATTGAGAATCCCACCCAACCCCTGTATCTCGTCCCCTACTGAAATACAACCTCTGTACAGACCCACCATCACCCTCACCCTCACCGGAGCCCATCCTCTTTGTCGTCGAATTTTTTTTTTTTTTTTTTTTTTATTTATGCTTTGAGGGGACAGTTTTGCAATGTGGAGACGACGGCCAAGGAGCCGTTTCAGAGTTGAACGATAAAATTTTGGAATTCTCGGTTAGGGTTTCAGAGTTTACTTAATTTTCAGATTCATACACTCCAAATCCATATTTTACATAATTTACCGATACACGCAAACACCCAATTCCCAGCTTAGCAATTCAGAATTAAAATCGAATATTAAACAATAAAAGTTGGGCCAGAAAAAGTCATAATCCTCAAATTCCAATTTTGACTCATGAGTATCAAGCTGTACGGAAATTAATCAACAAGACCTTGAATTATCTCACAAATTCAACCTAATTTCAGATTAGAATATGAACAAAGTTTTACAACTTAATCCATGAAAATATAGATTTCATATAACCCGAAACAAGCAAATTTAGCAAACATAAAATCCCCCATGATCCAAAACATGGTGGCTCTGATACCACTTGTTAGAAATTTTATCGTATATACATACGAATTCCCAAGAACCAACATGCTTGAATCAACGAGAATTAAACCTAAACATAAACACGGAAGCGTACCTTACATCATGTAATCGAATCTTCGAATCTCCACCGGATTTGGACAGGTCTTCCAAAGAATCCGCAGTTCCTTAATTATCTCTCTAACGATGGATTTTAGAAGAGACAGAAATGATTGCGTTTCTTTGGGGACCACGACCCTTTATATAACTGTAGAGTCCAGTTATATTATAATTGTGATTCAGCCCCATTAATAAATCACAACTAAGCCCTAATTGTCTCTACACATTAGGCCCATAATTATAGTTTAATACCCATAAGTCCAACCCAATAACCTTTATTAGATCACAATTAATTTGGACTTTCATTAAGATAGCCATACACATTTACGTCACATATCTGAGCCCACATAATTATTGAAATAATTCCAACAGGTAGATCTTTAATCCAATTAATAATTACATGCTAAGCAGTAGTTTTAGGTTAACAAATTGAGACCACTGAAAAGATAATGATTGAGTTTGAGTGACACCTTATCCTAATTAACATGTGGTAATAAGATTGACAACCAAAACATGTTTATAACTAACTACACTACCAATTGCAAATTAGTATAATAAAAGAAAGTTATATATAATTGCTTGTAATTGATGAGCAGCCGGCGTGCATGTAATATCTTTACACGTGGGACATGCTGTCCTGTAAATTTGATCCTCGTCAAATTAAAGAACCTTCCAACTTTCAAAATTGAACCACTCACGCCAAGAACTCCATTATTATTATTATTTCACCAAATTCGGACAGATTCTCTCTCTAGTTTGCCAATTAAGAAAGCATTCTTTCTATTTCTATATCTATATCTATATCTATATCTAATCAACAAAAGTAGGAAATACAATTTGTGAGGATTTCTTACATTGTATTTGAACAATATCTGTAATCTGTCATCTGTTAGAGAGAGAGAGAGATAGCTGTGTTTGTAATTAGTGGATTGTGGAGAACACCGCCATCTCAATTATATCCTTTCTTTTGTCCCCTTTTTTCTTATTCTTGTGCAAATAAATCCACCCACACCTTCATACTGATCTCATCAATTATTGACCAAGAAAGAATACACTAGGAATTTGGGTTGCCCAGAATTAGAGCTATAAATCTCCCTTTTCTTTTTTTCTTAATGATCATCACCGAAAGATTCTTGATTTTTTGAGGCTTTGGTTTTCCTTTTTTAATTTCGGAGATGGTAAAAGTGGAAGATTGAAGGGAAAGGGAAGTGAAGATTCCAATTTCCAATATTATTATTATTATTATTTCACCCCACTCCATTAATCCAAAGATTAGCCGCTGATTCACCCAAAATTGTAAGTTCCCTTTGTTAAAAATCTCATCTTTTATTTTTGTTGTTGTGTTAGTTCAGTTATTAAAATAAAGATTTTTTTTTTTTAATGGAAAACTCAAAACAGCAGTGAAATTAAATGGCAACTCCTGTGGAGCCTCCAAATGGATTAATGAGGGCAAAGGGGAAGCATTTGTACACAATGTGGCATACTCTGTTCGAAATCGACACAAAATATATCCCTATAAAGCCCATTGGCAGAGGGGCTTATGGGGTAGTTTGTTCTTCCATCAATAGGGAAACAAATGAAAGAGTGGCCATCAAGAAAATCAACAATGTTTTTGGAAACCGAATCGATGCCCTTAGAACTCTTAGGGAACTTATGTTGTTGAGATGCATAAAGCACGAAAACGTTATTTGTCTCAAAGATGTTATGATTCCCACTAATTTGTATGGTTTTAAGGATGTTTATTTGGTTTACGAATTGATGGATACTGATCTTCATCAGATTATCAAGTCCTCCCAGCCTCTGTCTAACGATCACTGCAAATACTTCATTTTTCAGGTATTTGAGACAATTGCTTTTTGTTGGATGATAAAAAAATAATAATTGTAATTTGATTTGTTCATCTCTGCTATTATTTTATATTTTTGAATTAAGAGATGCAAGATTGCTTATTTTATGCTTGCAATACTCTGATTGAATGCAGCTGCTTAGGGGGTTGCAATATCTCCATTCAGCCAACATTCTTCACCGGGATTTAAAACCCGGAAATCTCCTAGTCAACGCTAATTGCGAGCTAAAGATTTGCGATTTTGGGCTTGCTCGAACCAATAAAAACAACGGTCAATTCATGACAGAATATGTAGTCACACGATGGTACCGTGCACCTGAGCTTCTGCTATCCTGTGATAACTACGGAACCTCAATTGATATCTGGTCCGTTGGGTGCATCTTGGCCGAAATCCTCGGCCGAAAACCAATCTTTCCAGGAACCGATTCCCTCACTCAACTCAAGCTAATAATCAGTGTACTCGGTAGCCAATCAGAAGCCGATCTCGATTTTATCGATAATGCTAAAGCAAAGAAATTTGTAAGATCACTTCACTTTTCAAAAGGAACTTGTTTTTCTTCCTTATATCCATACGCGGACCCCCTGGCAGTTGATTTGTTGGAGAAGATGCTTGTGTTTGATCCTAGAAAAAGAATAGCGGTTTCGGAGGCTCTTTGTCACCCTTATATCTCGAGTTTATATGATCCGAGTTTAAATCCTCCGTGTCAGTATCGTATAAATGTGGATATAGATGAGAATATTGGAGAATCGGTTATTAGGGAGATGATGTTGAGAGAGATCCTCCTTTACCACCCTGAAGCTGCTGTTATATATTAATGTTTTTTTGTCACGCGATTTCTTATTTTTATTCAATTGAGATGGACGGGGGACGGATCACATTAATTCCGATGATATCCGGGGATTAATTCTTTAAGATGTGTAACTTATTGCGGATTTTAATCTTTGGTTAACAAACATTATTTTGGACTAGTATGGCATGTTGAACCAATACTGTGTGCCTTTAATGAAATAATATCTGGCAAGATTTGATATTGCATTAATGTAGCCATGCAAGAGAATCATGCATGCATGCCAAAGTTTGATGAAATAAATCCAGGAATGAATGACAGAGTATATATATATATATATATATATATATACTCCCCTAGATGTTATTAAGGCTAGATAGTGAACAGAGAAAGATGTTCCGTAAATTAAGTTTGAAATGTTTAGGCAGTAGTAGTAGTTCAAAGAGTGGAAAATACATTGCGAGGAAAAAACTAGGAAAAGATGGGTTGCAAAAGATAGAATTTGAGGAGAGTGAATCAAAAATAATTTTGAATCTATTGTTCGATAAAGATCATAACATGGGAACGAAAGAATTGAGTTTCAATATTGATGTTGTGGACGATGACACGAATAAGACGTACTCGTTGAAACTAATTAAGAAGGATAGCCATTTTGGATTCTATCAAGATTGGGGAAGCCAGGTTGTCTCAGACAGGAAGTTTAATGGTAATGAAGAGATTGGTTTTTATGTTGATTCCAAAAAATGGGAGATCCACTTTTTTGTGCTTAATACTAATACTAATGCCGATGCTGCTCACCCTGGTCCTCCTGATACCGATGATGATGACGACGACGATATAGAAAAAATGAAAACTTGCCCTCCAAAATCAGAGAAGCAGTTGTCCTACCCTCTAAAGAAAGAATTATATTTACCTAATTAATATTGAATCAAGTTCAGATGTCAAAGAATAATAAATATATTATTGTTGTGTACGTACACAAATGAGAAATTAATTATAAATCATGTTACCTGCACCTTAATAAGGTGATTGGAGACAGTGAGCTTATTTTATCAAGAGAGTTGGTGCTTCTAAGTTGTAACACAACCAACCTATTATAGTAAGACATAATATTGAGTGTACTAAAATCATATTATATATAGTTGAACCGGTAATTTTATTCTAAAACAGTGTAAAAACAAAGCAAAAAATATGAAGTAATAATAAACTAGAAAAGGTAGAGAATAGAAGATGATGATATTATTGAATGATCAGCGCATATATAGAGATGGAACGCAACAATCGGAAGATGATAGTACCATAACAGAGTCATAATATTGGGGTATCTTCATCAGTGACTGAACCGGGGTCCTCTTGTGCGCATACAGAAGCTACAACTTCACCAAAATCATAGAAAGAAGCATCTAATGATTTTACAGCTTTTGCTAAGTAAGGTGTAATCTTCTCCACTGAATTCTGAATAACCCTCTCTGCCAATGTACTCGAAATCGTCGTCATAAAATGATGAGCCTCGTTTTCCCTTTTCAAAGTAGCCAAAATAGGGTTGAGTACATCCTTTGAGGAATCGTCGATTTCTTCCAAAACAAGAGTCATAACTATCTCCATGGATTCGAACATCCTTTCGTCATAATGACGATCAACTTTGAGAAAGTGTTTGAACATCTCAACAATCATAGTCTCACAATGTATATCCAACATGATCAGAAAGGACCTCACATTGGCCATGGATTCAAGCATACTCCCCCTTTTCCCATACCATCTGCTTGATACATCCCACAGATTCTCAAAGCACGACACAATCAATTCAAACACATCCTTCATTGTCTCGTCGTCTTCCGGGGCCTCTGGAGCAGTAATTCTGATTAACTCGCTGAAGCAACAACCTACGCCTACTTTTACGTCCGCGTCGGAATGCTTCAGTAGCTCTTTTGCCGCCAGGGCTTTGCTTACCGGAGAAAGAGCAGCTAGTATGGCTGTGGAGGGCGACTGACAAACTTTTGATAAAAGTTGCTCAATTTGATCGAGAAGATGGATCAATTCCTTGACCGAAGACGGAGGACGAAGAAGACTGTTCCCAGCGGCGATGAGCCCTTTTTCAAGTTCTTCGTCGGAAACTAGTTCCATCGTTTTTGTATGCTCTATCAGATTTTACGATCAAAGGACAAAATACCAATTTCAATTCGATGGACGAAACCCTAGCTGAGCGGAGACGAAGGTTAAATTGAACGTACCATTCTCCAACTACTCTTATATATAATCCCTTTTTTTTTTTCTTTTTTTTTTTTTTTTTTTTTTTTTTGTGTAATTAGTAATAAAATATAAAATTATTGTAAGTGTAACACTAAATACACAATTTATATTTTTATTAATTATTAATAAAATATAAAATAATTTCCATTCAAATAGATTGTATATAATATTTAATATTATATAATACTTTTGTCGAATTATAATATATGAATTGACAATAATAGAACTGAATGGTGCTAAAGAAAATTCAATGGAAACATAATCAACATTGAAAATTGTCAATTGAAAAGAAAATAAGCAAAAATATATATCATCATCAAAACAAACAATTCCTTGTAAATGATGAAGATTAGATGATTAGAGGAATGAATTTATATTATGAATTGAGAAGGCCATCCACCAAACTCTTGTTGACTATAGAAAGTATTGTATCATGGATGTCAAGAACAACTCTTTTGCTCTCATCAGCTTTTGCCTTGTTTGCTACCACCTCCTCTTCAGCTTCACTTAACTTCTGTTTTACTTCACTTAACTTTTGTTTTACTTCACATACTTCCCTTGTATATAATTCCACCTTCTTCTCCGCTCTTGCACTCGCTTCTTCATCTTTCTTCGCCTCTTGTTTAAGTTGTATGTATTCTAGAAAACCCTTCTTTGCCCGAGAAATATGCTCCAACCTCTTACGAATCCATCCAACGTTCATCTTCACTCGCTCAAAGTCATCAACTTGTTCGAGCATGTTGTCCAGCTCTATACGTGTTATATTACCTAAAGTGGTCCCCTCCAGTTTCATATAAATATCGCACAGATCTTCAAGGTGGTGCGAGAGGATTTTGGGAGATTTCAGAACGCATTCGCTTGTGATGTCTCCGTGTTTGTCAAACACTGCTCTAAGCAAAGGAGCAACCTCTTTCTTGACTATGAATCTCTCTTTCACAAACTCATAGGCGGGACCCACATTGGAAACAACTTCCTCCGGATCTTCGTCTAATTCATCCAAGGCCTTTTGGGCAAACTCCGTAACGCAAAAGCTCTTCTCTTGCTGCATATTTGGAGGTGGTGGTGATTGGCAGTACTGTGCAGTGATTTTGGAGGTGAGATTATCGAGGTCAAGGGTCTGATAGCTAATCGGAGGAGACCAATTAGCCGATCCGGCTGAAGCAGAGATGTTGTCAAAACCATTGTTTGTCTGAAAATCTCCTAATTTAGTTCGCTCAAATACCACCTTGTTTCTAGTGACAGAGAGACTCGATGCAGCTGTAGTAGTTGTAGCATGGTGGACCTGCATATGGATCGTAGATTTATAGATAGATACATGTATGCATAATTACAAATCAAACAAAGCACAACGTGTGTGTGTGTGTGTGTGTGTGTGTGTCTATATATATATATATATATATATATATATATAAGGTTGTTACAGCTGCATTGGCTTGTTGTTGGTTAGTCTGATTCCTGGTGATGCATCGAACAGGACTTCTCAACGGAGAATGGTGACCAAGGCCAATGGTTGTGGAACGTGTTCTTGGGATTTTGGAAAATGCACGCTCGGCCTGCATCTGTAGAAATGGAAGAATTAAAGTCAATTACGAAAATATATCATTGAACAACAATAACAACAGGGCATAAAGATGAGACAAGGATTTAATTTAATACAACCTGAATATGTGATGGGCATGGAAACAAACATTAGGATCAGTGTATATATTTATATATATATATATATATATATATATATATATATATATATATATATATATATATATATATATATATATATATATATATATATATATATATAACTAAGAACTTCATTAATTGCTGTATATCCATTTGTGATGTCCATAAACATACAATTCTGTAAACATTACAATATGATGATAAGGTCATTAATTATTGCACTTTACACTAAGCAACTAACTAATAATCCTTACCAAAGATGGATATGTTAGCAATTAAATATTAATAAAAGTATTAATTTCTCATAAAAAAAAAACTAGGTTATCCGTTTGCTGATTATTTCTCAACTCATACTAACCAACCAACCAACCAATAATGTAGCCAAGTATATAATTAGGCATTAGCTTGTTGACAAGTTGTCGATTGCAAGTTCTTATGTTGAATTGCGTGTTCAACATTTTTCCATCATTGTCATAAATCATCATAGCAAGGTAGGCATTAATATCAAACAAGCACATCACACAAATCCGTAGATAAATTGAACAGCACGACATTGGAACCATAGCAGGATTTATTAAGACTAAATAAGTGTCGAGAGAAATGAAATGAGCATAAATATAAATAGTAATCTAGCATGAAAATAAATGTAAATGTAAGTATATTCGAAACAAGATTGTGCATACAAAAAACAATGATCAGGAAAAAAGACACGAGTAGCAGAACAATTGAGAAATCATATCATAAGGGAAAATGTGATGACATTTTGAATATAAAAGAAAATTTCCCAACTCCAGTTTAGGGGAAAAATGATCAGAAGCCAGTAAATAAACCCACAACAATCATAGATAGCAGCATGCATATATGTTTCAGAAAGTAAGAAAAAATCCAACATTTATTTCTTGATTTGATTAATTACCTGATGTATTGTATTTGAAATAAAACCAAAAAAGAAAAGAAAAAAAGTGATTATATACCTGATTATCTGTAGAACGGAGACGGATAGTATAATTGTGGGAGTGATCATCACTTTCTTCGGTAGTCATTTCACATCTTCCTCTTCCTCTTCGTTTTCCACTTCTTCCTTTTACCCCTGTCATTTTTGTTTATTTTTTTTTTTAATTTTTTAAAAGACAGAGAAAGAAACCCTTGTTCTTTCTCAGAGAGAGAGAGAGAGAGTTGTACTGGTACTGGTAGTATTAATCGAGGAATGGCTGGATAAAAAATGAGGAGGAGTTGTCGGTTTGTGATTGCATATTGGAAAGCATGTTAACACACACACACACTCAAGGTTTTTTATTTGCTCTTTTTTGGCAACTCTGATTCTTCTGAAGCTCTGTGTTCTTCAACCCTGCTCTAATTGCCTATACGTATATAGCAATGTAATTAACACCATCTTCCCTTTACGTCCAATCATATTTTTTATATTATTTCTTTTTTATGCAAACCCATTATAACTTGTTTGATGTTTCTTTACAAAATTATTATTTGAAATCAACAATTAATTATGATTTTTGCAAAGGTATCAATCAATATGTTCAAGAGTTTATATTTACAGGGTAATTTTGTTTTTACCAACAAAACTATAAACTAATAATAATAAACAAGAAATACAAATATGACATTATTAATAGTACTATTAACCCTTTTTTTTTTTTTTCTCTTTTTTTCTCTGTCAAAATTGTTTGTGATACCACTGATTAAACGGCCTACTCGTGTGGCCCATGGGCCAAGTCCCACTTCATATACTTTTTCTTCCACAAGCCCATATATATACCCTGTAATATAACTCAAAATTATTATTATTATTATTATTATTATTATTATTATTATTATTATTATTATTATTATTTAATTTCTTTTAATTTTTTTTAATTTTTTAATTTTTTTTTCATTTTTATTTTTATTTTTCTTTTTCGTTTTAATAACTTTTTTTCTCTATCAGGTATGTTAATCGACTATGATGACCTATAGTCGATTAAGGAACCGATAACTAAAAATAACAAATTACAATTACAAAAAATGCAAACTCAACTATATTTTACAAAAACAAACAATATACAAAAAATATAATTAATTTTTACAATTGGAATCAATAAACAAAAAATCCAAAAATAAAATAAAAATTGGAGTCAATGAAGCATATTAATCGACTATGATGTGAAGCATAGTCGATTAAGAATCTGCTATTAAAAATAACAAATCACAACTGCGAAAAAATGCAAAATCAACTATATATTACAAAAACAAAAAATATACAAACATTATAAATGATTTATACAATTGGAATCAATAAACGAAAAATTCAAAAATAAAATAAAAAAATTGGAGTCGATCAACCTTAATCGACTGCCAGAGCATAGTCGATTAGCTTAATCGACTATGAACATTTACATAGTCGATTAACGCTTCAGCCTGCGCGAAATTCTCTACATACGCCGTCCTCCGCCCGATCCACAAAAAAACTTCCCCATTGTCACCACACCGCCGCCACAACACACCATCACCACCTGACTTTGACATTATGACGATTTTTTTATTACAAATAAATAAATAAAATCACAACTCGCACAACCAACCAAAGCAGAACCACCACCCATCAAAATCCGATTCCGGCGACAAATCGATATTTTTACCTCTTTTCGCCGTCGATGTAGCAATCGTGGCATTTGAATTCTGAATCACTATCAAAATCAATTATAATGTTTGATGGGTGCTTCCTCTTCTTTCTTTCTCCGTCTTCCGCGACGGCGGTGGCAGCGACGGAGAAGATTGCTGGAGAAAACAGAGAAAAAAAAAAACAGAGAAGAGAAAACATAGACGAGAGAAAAAATCTAGAAACGTAAAAGCGGCCGAATGAAAAGTTAAATATAAGATTAAGGTTTTGAAAGAGTATTAATAGACAACTAATGGTACTTTTATAATTATGAAAATATTACATGGATGAAATATTAGCTAAGGGGGTTTTCTCTAATTATTTTTGGGAGGGGTGTTTACTCAATTATATTTCCTAGATGAGGGGGTTTTCTCTAATTTTCCCCATAATGAGACCAAAACCTCAACAATCAACATCATTATTAGATCAGTGAGTCTTTCTCCTTCCTTTCATCCGTAACTCTTAACTTATATTATCCAAACCAAAACTTATTAGCATCTTAATTTTGGGTACTTAAGTTGTATAATGTTGTCAGAATTAATAACACTACACTACTACTCACTATATATGCATCTCACTCGAGTCGGAGACATGCATGATTATAACTTAGAATGCAAGATATAATTAACCCAATTAATTAATTTAATATCGTTCTCCTACTAAGAATTGTATTATCTATTATTTTAAACTGATATGTTGAATCCTACACTAATTTTACCAAATCATACACACAATTGAATTTTTTTCTCTCTCTAAAATTCATCTTCTCTTTCCCCACCCTTCTTCTTTTTCCCTATTTTTTTCACAAAATCACACACTAAAAACGTCCATATCATTCCAAGTTCGAATTTGAGAAAAATCTTCATGTGTTCAAACTAAAATAAAGTTGGAATTTGAGAAAAAAATTCGAATTGATATGAATTTAAATAATTAAAAAGGCATACTGAAATTCCCACCTATTAAATAAACTTAAACTCACTTTTTATGATTATTCATGTGAAAGATTAACGAATTTTGAGTGACTT